CAGGTTAACCGTGTGCGTGTGTGTGTGAGAGAGAGAGGTCTATTGACAGAAAGCTAAGCTGAAAAAAGAGGGTTTCCATTTGCTTTTGAATGCAGTGTGAGCTGTGACAAGGTGGGTGAGGTACTATCTTTTATTGGACCAACTACTGTTGGTGAGAGAGACAAGCTTTTGAGCGTACGCAGAGCTGTTCTATTTATTTGCAGGAGTGAGTTCCATAGTTTAGATCCGAGCCCCATGAAAATTCTTTCTCCTGCACTCATGAACTTCTCCCATTGGTTGAAAGTGTCATTTATTGTTCCAGTGGAATTTAGCTGTCATGGGAATTCATGGTTATGGAGGGAGAATTGATCTTTTCAATAGTTGGGGCTAATCTTATGGAGGGCTTTGAATATTAGGGCATAAACCTTGAATAAGACTTTGTATCTCATAGGGATAAGGTCAGGCCAGGCATGTAAGGCCTGCTACTGGTTCCATGTAACCCAGTACAACCTTCTGCAGGTCGAGTGACTAAACTGGGAATCCTGATTGATGGGGGTAATGCCAGATCCCTGTTGGAATGAAAAACAATATCCACAAAGAATAATTCCATCTGGTGCTACCACTTTGCATCTAGTTTTTGGTTTTACAAAGGCGAGGAGAGGAAACCCTACACCCAGTCCACGGTGGAGAAAATATCAGGTGATTGGCATCCGCTTCTTCAGGTAGTTCCTGCAGCTGTGCTTGCTTCAAAATATGTTGATCTCCAAGCCTCTGTGTCTAGTCAGTCCCACCAAGAGGGGGACTTTTTGTCCTAGGGCAAGCATCTGCTTCTTTATTTTCGCTGCGTATGTGCCAAAGTTACAGGTACAATGATCATCCTCTTCAAACTTGCTTGTTGGAATGTGAAGACAATGTGCCCTGGTATGTTAAATGACCTGGAGGAGGTCAGTGATCCTTGAAGGTATGCTATGATCGATAAAGAGCTGGAGAACGTTGACATTGATCTGACCACTCTCTCTGAAACCAGACTAGCTGACACAGGCTCTCTACGAAAGATTCATTACACCCTCTTCTGGCATAGAAAAAACAAAGAAGAGTGCTCTGGTCATGGGGTGGTATTTGCAGTCAAAAACTCATTAGCATCCATCCCCTTGCAACATCGGGACAAATTATATCACTAAGAATATCTATGACAGGTGGTTTTGCCAATATCATCAATATATGTGCCCCAACGCTTTCTTCCATTTCTGAAGAGAAGGATTTGTTCTATAAGCACCTTGATAGCATCAGTAAGCTACCATCAGGCAAGTGACTCTATCTGTTGGGATACTTCATTGTTAGGGTCAGCTCAGATCATGAGATGTGGCTGCTAGGTTTTTGCCACCATAGAGTGGAAAAAATTAATTACAAATGGTTAGTTCTGTACCAACCAAGGAGCATGCATTACCAACACTTACTTTCAATGCAGTCATCATCGAAAGGTCTTGTGGAGACACTCCAGATCTGGACACTAGCACCAACTGAATTTAATTGTTAGTTGTAGAAAACACTTGCAGAATGTTCTCCATACTCGCGGTTTTCGTGATGCAGACCATAACGCAGACCATGCACATGTATGCTGCCAGTCAGGCTTTCACTACAGAAATTCCATCGTTCTAAACAAAGCTGTTGCATACAAATTAACATCAACAACACAAAAGACCAAGGAAGGTGTTTCCAATTCACTATGAATCTCAGGGAAACTATGTCATTGATTGCCCCTTCCTGAATGCTGATGGAGTATTGAGCGCATTCTGGATGAATATCTTAGCTTTTGGTAAAAAGACTGCACAAGATAAGGACTGGTTTGCAGCATAATTTGAAGAAATACTCCTAGTCACTGAAATAAAATCCACAGTATACTTTCTCATCTAGCAAGCAAGATCAGATGGAAAACTCTTCGACATTGCTTGTCTAAAAGCAGAATTAGAACTTTTTTGCCAACAGCTCAGGGCTTGTTTCACATAGGCACTCCAGAAACTTTGCAATAGCTTTGTGTTAGCTTGTGATAAATTTGGTTTAACCATCAGTGATCAGTCTAAAGAAGACATTGATTATGGCACAAGGTGTGTCCTGAGCATGCTGCTGTATAGTGACAAGACCTGGACCATCTACGAAGGCACGAAAGAAGGCTAAACACTTTCCACACCTGCTGTCTTAGTTTGATTTCACATACAAGTCCCTGATACCAAAGTATTTGAGAAAGCAAAATTGCCAAGTCTAATATTTATTCACTATTCTTAAATAGAGACATTTTTGTTGGTTTGGTCATCTATACTGGATGGATGATAAACACATTGCAAAGGACCTCCTGTATGGAGAACTTGTGGATGCTCCAAGGTCACTGGGCCATCGTAGGCTCAAGTTCAAGGAAGTTTGCAAGAGGGAGCTGAAAACTTTCAACATCTGCACTGCAAGCCCAGAAAAGGCAACTAGCAAAAGGCTACATTGGAGGACTGTGCTGCACCAGGAAGTCAGAGGCTGAGAGAGAGAAAAGTGAAGACAGAGCAAAGAGGAAAGTGCAGGAGACCTTAAGGGCCAGTAGTGCACCGGTTTCATCTTCTCGCCTTGCGCATCACTCCTACACAATCTGTTGCTCGAGAATTGGACTTTTTAGCCATTCACAACACTGCAGTATGATACACAGTAACTGAACAGCTTTGGCACTTGCACCATCATTTCTCAAGACAGACAGTTGCCAGCTATCTTCTAGCAAGGCAGTGCAAAGAGTAGAACACTTAAATTGCTAATACTTTTCACAAAGTGATCCCTCTATATCTGACCTCTTAGTCCTCATCCTCAAAGGAAACCTGCACAACACCTTCAAAAGACGAGTCTGGGAACTTAAATTCATAATTTTTCTAGATACTAAAAATTAAGGGCTGAACAGAGACACTGGATTTATGGCTTATTACACCAATCTATAACCCCTTTACAGCCCCCTGCCTTATTTCCCTGCCTATACCCTCATGAGTGGAGAGGTTTAATGTGCCATTTCACCTTGAATGATCCCTTGAAATATGTAACTACTTATCCTAAACAATCTGTTCCACCTTGTATTTAGCTGCGACACTGAATACATTTCACAGACCTGAAGAAGAGCTCAGTGAAAGCTTCTCTCTCTCACTAATAGAGGTTGGTCCAATAAAGATATGACTTTACCCACTTGGTTTCTGTAATATCCTGAGACCAACATGGTTATAACAACACTTATTGCAAATAGGTATCTCATACCAGTTGGAGAGATTTATCTCTTTTCTCTATTCTTAGTGAAAGGGAAATCTAAGAAGGGAAATGTATATTTATGCATACATGGGGGTTAAAGGATAGCTGGGAATGGATAGAATGCATATTACTGAAGAATCTGATTCAACTACTTGGGAGTTGGGTCAGACCATCAGTGTATAAAGTATATCCCATCTGTTTATAAAGTAAATAAAACAAGAGAGTTTATATCAAAACAGACACCAATCAATACATACCTAAAAAGAGCATTCAAACTATGAAATCAGCAGTACAGAGGTCCTTTCTTTCTCAGTTTTCCTGTTCACAATTAAGATGACATCGCCAGGCAATAAGTAAATCCCTATTAAATTCAGTATGAGAATAGAAATTAAAAAGTCAATTAAATTGCTTTTGATTTTTTAAAATTTTATTTTGAACTATCAGTTTTTGTTTTTTAAACCTGAAATCTGCACTATTCTTGTGTGACTAACACATATCCAATTAATCTTGTCTATTGACATATAGGATTGTTTTTTCTTCCTTGAGCCCTCTTTCTCTACTTTAACCCCTTCTTTTTTTCCTCTAGCACTCATGAATAGTGCACATCAAAAATGCCCCGTGGAAGAGGTATGTCTGTGACAATACTATGCTGGGTTTTTTTCAAGCGGTGCTTTGCTGATTTCAGCTATCAGTCTATGATGGCATAATAATGGTGCAATTGTCAGCTTTTTGCACAATAAACTTTATTTCTCCCTAAATCACATTTGCTATGCAAAGATTCAGCTGAGAGTTAATTTCTTTTTTGTTGTTGTTGTTTAACCACATTTTAAAAAGTTAGTGTGGCCTTTAAAAAAATATTTGAATGTAAATATTACAAAAATACAGGATTAGAGAGTGAGGATTTAATGAGCTTGTGAAAATCCAAAATGCAGTGGATATAAAAAATAAATGTAGATAACTATTAGCCCAGAAATGGTCTCATTATTTGTGTGAATTAAATGCCCGAGAATTTAAACTCTGATAAGTAGACATTGGATTAATTTTTTAATAAGCAGTGCTAAGTACATTTCTCCTGCACACAATTCTATTAAATATTTACCCAGTAGACTGAAATAGTTTTTCAGGTAAATATCTTTTGTATTGGATTAGATTTTTAAAAAATAATTATTAAACCAAACCAAAAGTTTGAACTAACAAACATGTAATTTTTCCCCCCCCCCACAAAGTCTAGGAAATAAATTGTCAAAAGACAAGGTTAAGGTTTATTACTCTGTTCTTAATTCATGGAGTGGTGAAAAACAAAAAGGCACAAAAGTGTGTGTTAGGATGTGGTAGCTTTGCTTTCATTAATTTTCTTGCTTTTGTTAGTTTCTTTCACAGCTTTCATGTGGTTTTAAGCATAGTCATATGTATTTAATATTGCGGTAACTGTTTTGGATCTTTTCCTTCTTTTCACTGCAAGTTGTCTGAATCACACAATATGCCTTAAGGGATTCTTGAACTCCAGTGTGTGTGTAAATATGTATATTCTGTGTCAATCTCAAAGTATTGCTTATGAATAGCTTTTAAAAATTTTCTCTTGTGTTAAATACAAATAATTTTTATTTAGATATGGCCATTCTTAGAAATCTGTAGTTTATGATCAAATGCTATGTACAGTCAATAATTTATGATAGCTTGGTGAGAATTTTAGTATTACTGTCTTTATTTTGTTGCTGTACAAGTCCAGATTAACTTTGTTTTTCTTTCTTTAATAGCTTCTCGGACTTCTTCTCATACCGAACATCAGAGAGATAGAAGGTATAACATGGTTATTTATATTTCAACCACATGTCATCCTAATAGTTGGCTTTAGAGTTTATTTTAACGGATCGTGTCAGGATCCTACTTTTGTTCTTCTGGGGTTTTTTTTTTTTTTTCCTTTCTGATTTTTCTGTGCGAAAACAGTAATGACTGGAACCAAAGAAATAAATACATTTTAAAAATAATGAGATTTTAAGAAGATGGATTTTTTTGGTCTGAAATTTTTAAAAAAACTTATGGCCTCCATTTCTAGGTGATTGTATTTTCAACCTGAAACAAACTTAAATACACACACACACACCCCTACAGCTGCTCAGAAAGGGAGCCCCAATTAACCTGTCATAACCTCTGGGTGCTGACTTTCTATCCCTTCCTATCCTTTTTTAAAAGTACCCTTTAAACATATATTTGTGCATTTTCTGATAGCAAAATGACAGAAGAAGTTACCATAACAAATGGTCCATGTAGCCAGATATCCAGCATTCCGCAATGGCCAAGAAAGGCATACAACTCATTAATACAGCAAAGCATTCGCCAAGCTTTTCATTCTATGGACAGTTTCACAATAGAGACATGTTCTGGATCCCGCCCCCCTCCCAACACTGTTTGGTTCTCAAAATATTTTATTATGCAGACTATCTTGAAAGGTTCCAGAGAGCACAGTTGTGCAATACTGATTATTGGTGCTGGGGGATAGGAAATACATCCTTTACTCTTGTAGGCAACTGATTTACACTCAGAAGCATTATCATTATTTATGCTGTGGTAGCACCTAGAGTTTGGAATCAGGGACTGGGGCCCCATTGTGCTAAGCACTGTTCACAAATATAACAAAAAGACAGGCTCTGCCCTACAGAGTTTGAGGCTTGATTACCCTTGCTTTAGCACTGGGGGGAGATTTTCCTAAAATTCTCCATGTAGACAAGCCTTTAGGTACCAAAGAACGAAACCAGGTAAGGCTTTCTAAATAAACACATTAAATTCCCCCCACCTTCTGCCACTTGTTAGTAGGTAGCCAGTGCAGTGTGGTAACATTTAATATTATTATTAATGATGTTGAGAACTGTCCACTGCCAACTAGATATTCTGAAAAGTGTCTAAACTGTTTTTATTAAATATATTTAGGAGGCGCAGCATAAGTGAGCCTAGAATCACATGTGAACAACGGCATACACAAAAACAGAGAAAACAGCAGTAATTTGATCCACGTCCATAAATTAGAACAAATTAATTGGTTGAAAACTTTAGCTTCTTTTCCTCATGATTTCCTCAGATTTGGTCTTCACTCCAAATTACTTGTAATCTTTGTGAATTTTTAAACTCTGTGGGATTCAATATGAACAATTCTCCATGAATATTCAATATTCTCTATTCAAACTAAGGATAGTTCTAATTGGTCAGATATATCACATGGTGGTGTTTTTGTTCTCTGATTAGATTAGTACACAAAAACTCCCAGCATGAAAACTCACTTGTGTAGCCTTCAATTAGCTTTCTGTGAGTATTCATGTTAGTTAAAACTCAGTCTTGTAAATGATCAAAGGAAATGAACACAAGTAGCACGGCTGAAGTAAATTCATTTAAAAAAATCAGCCTAAATATTCACAAAAAGTTTGTTGTTTTCTCACTGGGCTGAACAGGTGAAAAGGTACAGATTTAGCCCCAATCCTTGCACTATCTGGGCTAAGACATCTTAATTTTAAAAAAAAATCATCTTAAATTTGTTTTGTTGCCTTGCATTATTTCTACACAGTAGTTAATAATAATGCTTTGCATTTATTAGTGCCTTTCATCAGAAGATTCCCAAACCACTTTATCCCACAAGGACACAAAGACACCTTCTAGTAAAGTACTTAAGCACATGCCTACCTTGAAGTACATGAATAGCCTGTTGTAGTCAATAGAATTTCTCTTTTGCTTAGAGGTAGGAATGTACTTAAGTGCTCTGCTGAATGGGGACCCTGAGTGCTTGCTTCACTGGGACCAGAAAGGTTAAGTGACTGTATAAAATCATACAAGGCATCTTTGCAAAGTCAGGAATAGAACTGGAACTACTAGGAAAACATATTATTTTAGTGTTTATTTAAATCATTATTGTAAAACTTGCTAGTCAGTCATTCCTTCCCTCTCCCGCAATCACCTTGTTTATGTTTCTTTGCAGACGTCCTGAGATTACAATAGTTGCTGCTGAGCCTCTCAGACCATCCTCCTGGTTTCCAGGTGGAAATGTCACTCCACAAGGATTAGGATTCCCTCCTCCTTCCCAGACTAACTGGAGGACAAATGAGCTTGTTCCAGCTGAGGTGAGCAGATAAGGGACGTATTTAGGTTACATGTGTAATTCATGTTAATTTTAAAGTGCAAAGAGGAACAATAACATCACCAGAACTCATTGTCCTCTTAAAAGAGAACTACTCTGTTGTTTTGTTTGTATTTTTGTTGTACATGTCAGGGTAGCATTTCTGAATTCATGTAGGGTTTTTTTTTTAATTTTCATATATGAACACATTAAAATTTTTACCTTTTTTCTTTTGTAGCTTCCACCATCTTATGAGCAGGTGATAAAAGAAATTAACCAAGTGCAAGTCAATACAACAAATAACAATAATGCTGCTGCTGCTTCTAGATGCACTGCAACATCTGCAACACAAACTGACTTTCCAGAGGAAATAATCAGCCATTTGCCAAGAAGTAATGTAAAAAACAACCTACCTACTCTCTGTGAATCTGAAATTGTTCAAGGTAAATGCTCTATGGACTTCTTATTATCAAAGATTTTACAGATTGTGTTCTGGGGATGCTTTTAAAAATCAATTTAATCCTTTCTACATCCAATAAAAGTATTTCACTTATGGACTAGGTGCTGCTATGAATTACTGCATTTGCTTCTTACCTCTGATGACCTGATACTCCATTCTGGTCTGTGTCAGAAGTAAAAACGTGTTGTTCTTTAATATTACCCTAGGCTATAATGCATTACAAGTATTTTTCCATTTTAGCTGTATTTGCAATCCTTTTTGGCCAGAGAATCTGAAAAAAATGAATGAAAAAACAGGGAGGTTGTAGTTCAGGACTGAGATGTATGCAAAGGTGGTTGGAGAAGCTGCTGTACTATTCCTTGTTCTAGCCACTGCTGGGAAACCCTCAATGTCATGAAACATTTTTAAAAATATTTTTCTTTATTTGATGGTGCTTTGAGTATGTTAAAATGAAAGTGCTGCAAGTCAGCAAAGTAATTTTGGACTTATTACTTGTAAATTCTATGCATTTGTGCAAAGATCAATTCTTTTCTAGAGTGTAATGTATTTTTGCCCCCTTGAAAAAGGGAGAATGACAAATGTAACACAAGAAATGGTGAGTTCTAGGTGGAAATAGTTGGTGGATTTTCAGTCAGAATGGTTAGAGAGGCCAAATGACAAAGTAAATTTGTGTTTAAGATGTGTCAGAATACAATTTGAAAGCTTCTTTTTTCTGTCAGCAGTGCAAAGTCCTCTCAAACCTCCCAGACCTCTCTTAAATAGCAATCCTTCAGAAAATGAGGCTCCCTTAGTTGTCTCTGAAGTGTCTGAAGAATGGAAGTGCCAAGAAAATCCCAGTAATGTGACCGGTCCACTGCCAAAACCAAGATCAAAAGGCAATCTCAGACCTGTGGTCAGAGATATTCAAAGCAAATCACAAGACAATCAGGAAGAAGTGAGCCAGCCTCAAGCTGAAAGGGAGCCATCTCCAAGTCAGCCAGTGTCCCTCTTAGATAATAGCTTATTGGACAATCACATGGTGATGAACAGTATGAATACAGAAAAAAGCCAAAATAGTATTGGTTCAAGAATCAAAGCTTTTGAATCCCAAGCAAATTCTGATATCTCAGGATTATCAAAGAAACCAGAAATTGCTCCACGGTCATTTGTCCCAAGACCAACTGTTTCTGCAAAGAAGCCAATAATAGCTCCAAAACCAGAGCTAGGGGCCAGGAGAGCTTCAGGAGAGTCGGGTTCATGGACAGAAAACACACAAAAAGCTACATCCAGGAAATGGCACCCTCAACCTCAAGAAGCCGGGAGTAATGTCATAACCAAACCTGAATTGCCAAAGAAACCAAAACCTGGCCTTGTAAAAAGTACTAGTAATGATTTGCTTGATGCAAGGAATGGGTCAGCTTCAGAGAACAATGATGAACAAAAGAAATTCCCAGTTCCTGCTCCAAGGCCACTCGTTCCCAAAAAGTCTCTTTCTGTAGAAAGTCCTGCCCCTCATTCGACTTTACTAAAACCAATCATCGCTGCTCCCAGTCTCTCGGTAGCTACCCAAGCAACAGCTTTCATGTCCCTGAGAGAGTCATCGGCTCCAACCAACCTCTCAACATGTACTTTGCAAAGTAAACCAGTTGGGGAAGGAGATCTTATCAGTTTTGATGATGACGTTTTGTCCCCTAGTTCAGTTAGTGCAGTTCAAGAATGTACCAGTTCTGAAGCAGGTAAGAACAAGTGTAAGGAGATAAATAGTGAACATGGTTACAAATTTGCATGCACATGATATTGTACATATTTACAGTGGTATTGGTATATGTGTATGTAAAATTCTATGCTTGTCGTATTAAGCTTCATGTGAAATTACATGGACTCAGAGATCAATATGATTGACCAATAAGGTTCCTAGGCTGTGTAATTCTGAGAACATGCCAGCTGGATTTATAACTTAATAGCTAAAATAATATACAATAAGCTCAATACTATACTCCAGATGCCACCTCCAGAATGCATCATGATCCCTTCTCAGGTGCTGGAGACATCTTGCCTTATGCTACCTAAGCTATCTAGTACTAATATCTGAGCACCTGTGGTTCATAGCATCTAGCTCCTGGGCAGTTAAGTAGTACATGTATAGATATTTATTCCCCATTATGTCAGCGAGAGAAGCAACAGTGTGCATTGTGTTTTGGGAAATCATGACCCAGCACACTAAAACACCGTGCACCATGAGTGGAGGAAATGAGTGCCATTATCATAGAATCATAGGACTGGAAGGGACCGTGAGAAGTCATCTAGTCCAGGCCCCTGCACTCATGGCAGGAAGAAGTATTCTCTAGACCATCCCTGACAGGTGTTTGTCTAACCTGCTCTTAAAAATCTCCAATGATGGAGATTCCACAACCTCTCTAGGCAATTTATTCCAGTGCTTAACCACCTTGATAGGAACTTTTTCCTAATGTCCAACCTAAACCACCCTTGCTGCAATTTAAGCCCATTGCTTCTTGTCCTATCCTAAGAGGTTAAGAACAATAATTTTTCTTCTTCCTCCATGTAACAACCTTTTATGTACTTGAAAACTATTATCATGTCCCCTCTCAGTCTACTCTTCTCCAGACTAAACAAACCCAATGTTTTCAATCTACTCTCACAGGTCATGTTTTCTAGACCTTTAATCATTTTTGTTGCTCTTCTCTGGACTTTCTCCAATTTGTCTACATCTTTCCTGAAATGTGGCACCCAGAACTAGACACAATACTCCAGTTGAGGCCTAATCAGTGTGGAGTAGAGCAAAGAATTACTTCCTGTGTCTTGCTTACAACACTCCTGCTAATACATCCCAGAGTGATGTTTGCTTTTTTTTACAACAGTATTACATTGTTGACCAATATTTAGATTGTGATCCACTATGACCCCCAGATCCCTTTCTGCAGTACTCCTTCTTAGGCAGTCATTTCCCATTTAGTATGTATGCAATTGATTGTTCCTTCCTAAGTGGAGTACTTTGCATTTGTCCTTTTTGAATTTCATCATTTCAGATCATTTTGAATTTTAATCCTACCTCCAAAGCACTTGCAACACCTCCCAGGTTGGTATCATCTGCAAACTTTACAAGTGTGCTCTCTGTGCCATTATCTAAATCACTTATGAAGATACTGAACAGAACCAGAACTGATTCCTGCAGGACCCCACTTGATATGCCCTTCCAGCTTGACTGTGAACCACCGATTACTCTCTAGGAACAGTTTTCCAACCAGTTATGCACCCACCTTATAGTAGCTCCATCTAAGTTATATTTCCCTAGTTTGTTTATGAAAGTCAAGATATGCAACATCTACCACTTCCCCACTATCCACAATACTTGTTACCCATTCAAAGAAAGCTATTAGGTCAGTTTGACCCAATTTGTTCTTGACAAATCCATGCTGATTGTTTCTTATCACCTTATAATCTTTTAGATGTTTGAAAATTGATTGCTTAACTATTTTCTCCATTATCTTTCCAGGTACTGAAGTTAAGATGACTGATCTATAATTCCCTGGGTTGTCTTTATTTCCCTTTCTATAAATTGGTACTATATTTGCCCTTTTCCAATCCTCTGGAATCTCTCCCATCTTCCATGACTTTTCAAAGATAATCGTTAATGGCTCAGATACCTCCTGAGTTAGCTCTTTTGAGTATTCTAGGATGTGTTTCATCAGGCCCTGGTGACTTTCACAGTTTGTATTTCCAGAGCACATAATTACTTTGTTACATGGACTGCATGTTTGTTCATATAACTGTAAGTTTGTCAGTTAGTACATCCATGTGAAATCATTTTTCACTTAAAAGCTACTGTGTAAATTTTGGAAAATGTGGTTGATTCAGCTAAGCTCGTAGGGCTAGAGCTGGGTGAATAATGGTGTGGTTTTTTTGGTTCACCGGCAATTTTAAAAAATCTGAAAAAAGTTTTGTTTTGGATCAAACTGAAAACTTTTTTTTAGTTTTTCAGCAACTCGAAATGTCAAAAAAAGTCAAGTAAAAACAAAACATTTTGCCAATGTTAAAACAAAATGTTACATTTCAACCTGACAAATTTTGTTTCAACTTTCAGACGTTTTGAGAAAAGGAAGGAAAAGTAGATGGACAAAACAGGTTGTGGTGGTGCTGCTGCCTCCCTTATCAGCTTTAAGCCCAGTGGGTAAGCACTTACCTGGGATGTGTGGCTATCCATTGTCATTTATAGTGGCAACTCAGTTAGGCTTGGCAGAATTTGGTTTTTTTTTTTCCTTTATAATTTTGACAGATAATATCAATATTTTTAAGCATTTCCCCCCCTGATTTTTATCAATTTAAATTTTCACAGCTGTGCCAGATTGTGGGGTTTAAGCTTCTTAAAAATGTTTATTTATTTAAATTTTCATAATTGTGGGTCTGGCAGTGGTGGGATCAGACAATTATTTAAGGACAGTAGACATTGAGATAGACAAAGTTAAAACTGTTATAAAGTTATGACTGTTCAAATGCAAATTTTCAACATCATGTCAAAATATTCAAAGTAAATATCCTTAATTTGAACTCCAATAAGTTCACAAGCAGAATTTTTCTAACTTTGCCTATCTGTAAATTTTGATTATTATTGATGGAATTTTTTTTGTCATTTTTGATTGTGTACAGTGAAGTAGACATTTACCAATAAAAATCTAATCCAAGCCTATTTGTAGTCATTCATGATGACAATGGAGAGTCATTTGGCCAGAGATGGGGCCTGGTAATTAGGGAACTCACCTGGTATGTGGGAGACGCAAGGTCAAATCCCTGCTCTGATGACTATTTATTTATTTTCAAGAGGAGAGACTGAGAGAGCCCCATGGCGGAATATTCTATAGTCTTTTGGCTAAGGCACTCACCTGCAATGCAGGAAACCCAAAGTCAAATTCCTTCTCCTCATCAGGCAAAGGGAAGAATTGCACCGGGGTCTCCCACATCCCAGGTGAGTGCCTTAACCACTAGATTAAGGCTTATAAGGGAGGTGGTGCCACCACCAGCAGCCACCACAAAAAGTTTTGACTTTTTCAGTTCAGTAGAAAGTGTTTGGCAAACTTGACCAAATTTGCAAATAGTTTTGGTTGACCTGAAACTGCATGTTATAGCAAATAATCTATTTGTCAGAAAAATTTGAGGCACTTTTGAAAATCCCATTCGGCCCCTATCTGCATCTTTAGACACCTAAATATCTTTGAAAATATGTCCCTCAGAATTTAGACCATAGGCCCTGTTCCTGCAATAAATGGACCCTGGTGCCCACATAGAGCTCATCACAGAATTGGGAATTTAGATTGTAAATTCCATGCGGTGCAGTGACTGTCTTTCTATGTCTTTGTATAGTTCCTAGCACAATGCACCCTTCAAT